TGACTGGTTAGCCGGAAGCTGTACCGCGGTGCGTGAGTATTCGTTGCACGATCACCACAAAATCGTATGGTAGTTTTGCCGGGGCCTCAGGGAATACCAGGTCCTTGAGCGCGGAATAGAGGTCACGGCCGCCAGCAGTGAAAAATATTGCTAATTGGTTTTGCGCGCCACCTTTGCGAATGCTGTAGCACAGCTCGAGCTGCTTCACCAACTCTTGAAAATCAGACGAACTGGCATGCAAGTACTGTTGCTCGATAGTTGGTAGTTCCATTGCGTGACGCCAAATTGTTGTGGTCAAAGAAGGCACAGATTACGAGTTAAGAATCGTGATATCCGCACTCAAATGAAACGCCGAATTATACTATCACTTACACGCTGGTATCTCCGGTATCACCGAGACGCAAGGAAAAGGCCACAAAAGTAGCGGGATTAAATAACATGTAAAAAGGGAGTTTATTAGTTTTACAGGCATCCACCAATCTCGTGCATGTATTCTTGATGGCATACAGCTTCTGTCTGAACCACAGGACTTCTGATTGGTCGGCACGATTCGCCTGTGGTTCATTGTCTAGAAATTGATACGTAGGCGCTTGGCCGGCATCAACTGGGAGGGTTAACTTACCACAGTTATCCAGAAACTGCAAAGTGTCGCTGTGTGGTTGGCATTATCTCGCAGGCTGGAGTTACCACAGTTGGTCAGTCTCCGAATTTGAGGAAATTTTCCACCTAAATATGTTCGGTAGTGAGACTGAAGGAGTATCCGCGCATACCTAAAGTACCACAGATGCGATGATTCATCCGGACCAGATGCCGCTATTCAACTTCTTTTTCCACAGCTGTCGAGGAGAGTGGAGGGCTCGATAGTTGTGGTTGGTGGCGTAGAGCTGACAAAGCTTGGTAGGGCTGTGAGCTGTGTAACTGGGTTAATCTTGGCAGGGAATCTTTCAACATCGAAAATGTCAAACACATGAACACAATGGTAAGCAACATGAGCAAAAACTAAAAATCGGTGATCGGTGCAGATTGTGCGTATCTGAAAGAATGCTTCAAATCGACAAAAAATCATACAAAACTTCAAATCTGCCAAACAACAATTTGAACAATTAACCTTGTCTGGGAAGCTCATTCGGTGGACTCCGGTAAAGTTCTAAGGAAAACTTGTCGGGGCATTCAGCTTACATGCTAACTGGTGGATGCCACATGTCCCTGTGTAACTTGGATGGGTAAATTCGAATGTGAAAAGATCAGTGTTCTGTCGGTGTGTCCTCGTAGCTCAGCTAGTAGAACATGCACGTACAAAGCATAAGCGGCGTCCATGCGTGGGTTCGAATCCCACCGAAGAGCTACTGAACTTTCACAATCGTCAAACAAACTTCAAATCTGCCAAAAAACAATTTCAAAAATTCAACACTATACTCGTATGAAGTTAGTTATTGGCTCATAACTGTAAAAATGTGTCACAATAAAATCATCCTAAATTGGATACCGGACCAGTAGATGTGCTCCAACTTTGGGGCAACTTAGGCTTCTGTGATGCGTTCACGTCCGGTAAGTGAAAGACTCACTTACCAATCCCTCTTTTCAAAACAGCATGCATTTTACTTGAAAAACCACTGGTTTCCACAAGGCAATAATTCAGTGGGACAAGTGAATCCGTACCGAAAGTGTTTAATTTGGCGTATCGCGTAATCATGGCGAAATGCTGAAAAAGTGATAAACGAGCACAAGTTTCTATGTCCAATTTATTTGTGCCACAGCCTACTCCCGAAGATCAACCATCTTTCCTTGGAAACACATGGTTTCGGCAATAATCGATTTTTTTCCATCGGGCCCTCCCAGAGAGCGAACGTGGCCACTGAACCGAACATACCACTGCGGTAAATGCNTGAGTATCTCATAGTCCCTTCGGGTGTGACAAATAGCTAAAGTGGCACTTAAGTTATCAACATAAATAAGCAGTTGTTGATCATCCAGATGCACACGAAAATCCTGTGCGATTAAATGAGCTTCAGCCATACAGTTTACCCGCTGTGATATTCTGTGCATGTTTAATTGTCCCATAGTTACTATTGACGGTTGTCAGTAGTCAAACTCTGTTATGGCCATTTTTCCTTCTTCCCTGTTTTCCTATTGGTTCCGTTCCAATTGTCTTTGTGGACACGAATAGACAAACGAGCTGGTTTTCAGTGTGTCTTAATCATGCCATTACAACACAATTTATATGAATAATAAAAGAATAGGATTTACAAGGAAAAGTGTAAGTAATGAAAGTATTCAACAGTTTGTATTGTGTGGTGAATGCGTCGTGTAAATGAGGCGTGAGCTGAAAAGCTGGGAAGTACTGGACAGCTGTTTCGACCTGGTTGAGTCTCATCATGAGCAGTAGCACGAGTCTATCGACCCAAGACGTCACAGATAGAATTCAAGCATACTGCTCACTTGGCCACCGAACAGCTGATCAGACCGGTTTTAATTTTTAAAATAGCACACAACAAAATAATGAGGTTGTGAAAGTTTCCAACCAAGTCCAATCCCTGGAGGCAAGTGCTTAGATCAGCGAGGATCGATACTCGCAACAGGATTGCATAGATGGGTTGTGTTGTATCGTGTATATTCAAAAGGCAAAAAATAGTCTGATCAGTTACCCTGTTGTGGCCGAGTGAATAGTAGTATGCTTGTGTTATGCCTTGTGATGAGGTCCCGGATTCGATTCCCAATTGGGTCTATGGATTCGGTCTGTTGATGAGATCCAACCAAGTTGAAACAGCTATCCAGTTGGTATCCTTTATTGGTCTCCAATTATCACTTGCTCCGATGTTTCATGATAGGTCACTTGACGACAGGCCCGGCGATGGGAGTGCTTGAGTGCTTGCACAAATTGTTTCTGAGTCTACGGAGAGTGGGGTTGTGAAAATGGACGGAAACTATCTCTGCTGTGGCTAGAATGCGAAACCTCACCTGTCTAGACCGTCCCGTTTTAACTCCATACAAGGTCGGAACATTTCGGTCACGTTTATCATGTGATTAGTGTCGACAGGGTGCGACCCAACCTCATTTGTGATTAACTTGATTGCTCAACTTCNTTCTCAGCCATCCAGGGTGATGATGCTCATAAATGCACTCAGACAGACACGCCTGGTCGTGCGGCCCAAATACTTTGCTGCACAGGAGCCAGTGAAAGAGTAAGTACAAAAAGTGACCACAGAATCGGGTACTCTATCCTTCAACCGTAGATAAATCAGCGTACTAGATGTGAATCATATCTACGTTTCTTTTCGATTTCAACCTTATTGTTTGCTATGCCATATGTTAAAATATTGTTTCATCATTACAGAACCCTACCAGAAAAAAAAGAAACGAGACCAACACACAGTAAGCTTTAGACCTCCATATTATCTCGCACGCATTTTCTGACGAGAATCAGGTTTAATCGAGCGTGTTTTAATGAAGCCCAGCTTAAACAAACAAAAAGCGTTTAAGCATTTGAAACAAAGTGCACATATTGAAAATGCCTGATTACAGTTTTACAGGACGAACGATGAGACAGTTTTCACAAAAGATCAGAAAGCACAAACCGGGCCGGGCTAAGCACGGGATAAAGGAAAATAACAACCAGTCCGATTGAGGCCCAAATCGCTGATACTGGGCACCTGGCAGACAGACAGACAGACAGACAGACGGACAACGGTACATTTAGAGTCGTCTACAAAATACCCTCAAGCAATTAGAATTACGTTCGGCAACGTCACTTGGCAACAACAGAATCCGTATCAATCAAAATTCTAAACCCACCACTGTGCAAACAGAAGAAAATGGTTGCTGCATTCCAGTTAACTTGGGCTCAACCTACCTGATGAATGGAACCATGACCTC